GATTCAAACTTGAAAAAGTTACTTTCATGGACGAAATATTGAAATTGCATATATCTAAATGAATGTAAATAACGAACATTCAGTCGTCATAATATCTATTTTGAATACTAGTAGTCTGTTTATTAAAACACATACATGTATAAGGACAATAAGTTAGTCCATAACTTTGCATAGTATACAATGTAAACGCTTAATAAATGGATTATGTACTCGTACATGTATATGCAAATGGTCTCACCATAAATAATCTAGAATTCTTTTTTTCTAATGTAAGTTAAAAGAAAACGATCGCGATATACCAGTGACAATGATTACATGTATTACTATCATGATAATGATGATGATATGACGACGACAGCGACGATGGGTTTAGTTTTAAAGAAATATTAAGAAAATGTTTTTCGATTGAGTGAAATATGGACTATTTTCACGAAACATGATCAAATTCGATATATTTTCACGAGCTGGAAATCTTACTTTTACTCTTTATAAAGGAAGTTCAAAGCTTTATAAATTCGTTATAAGTATTCCTGACAGGTTAATTGGTCGTAAATAAACGGATGTTTGCAATATAACCCTCGCCTGGCTGCTGGGTAATATTTACAAACAACCCTTTAAATAAGGCCATGCAACCTGTCTTATATAAAACGAGAAGTATCTTTTAAAAAGATACTCGGCCGAAGTAAAACTGGTTAACATGCAAAATTATGTTATTTCTTAGTTTTTAAAACAAAAAGAAATACTTGCATAACAATGACAAGATTGTTATTTCTTGTAGCTAAAGGAAATACCCATTTTGTAAGTATTGAAATTAAACTATAGCATATTTATATTGATGATTTTTCAAAGTAGGACAGCTTCTATTTTAGGTGTCCCTTTAACTTGTTTTATGCTAGACTTTAAATTTTGAAATCATTGAAAATTTAACCAAAACGTTATAAACTATCCTCATTCCTATACATTTTATTCTAGAACTATCCTTTACATTTTACTTTATAGTGGCAAAACTATATCTTACATTTTATTTTAGAGCTATCCTTAAAATTTTATTTTAGAATGGTTACAACTATCCTTTACGTTTTACTTTAGGATGGTTAGAACTATCCTTTACATGAATGACCAATGAGATTTGCCGATTTCAGTTTGTAGCGAGCTCGAAAAGCTGGCCCGAAGGGCCTGCTAGCAAAGCGAGCTTTACGGTAACGCGAGTACCTGCTAGATAGTGATGGTTTTGAAAACTTTCGTCCCAAGTACTGATCGAATTGACAGATCGCAACTTTTCGAATTACAAGATAACGATAAAAGCCGAGGTATTCTGATTGAAAACGGAAGCGTAGACTGGTGTCCTGCGCACTCATATAGGAACCATAATAGGACAGGGAACCAGAATAAACGGAAGCAGTGTATAAAATACCGAATGACAATTTTTTTAAACGGAAAATGTAAAATAAAAATGAAGGATACTATTAAAATACTATTTCATGGTAAAAGTAAATCGAGCTCGATTTGCCTTTTTCATATTAACTCTAAAATGAATAATTAAAATTATTTTCATATTCAGCCCTTCCCTGTTTATTTTACAGGAAGTCAAACTAATAACAGACGGATTTCGTCCGAAAAAAATGCCATTTTTTTAAATGGCACTATAATTAATATTGTGACCACCTATAGTGTATATAACTTTAAACAGGACATATCTACTTTGTATCAAGTCAAAACAAAAGTTGACTAGAGTGACCTCCCCTGACAACATTGCAAATGGCGTATGGGTTCAAAAGGGAGGTTACTGTTGCTCTCAAAAAAGAGTGAGTTAGAATGACCTCCCCTGAAAGCATTGCAAATGGCGTAAGGGTTCATAGGGAGGTAACTGTTGCGCTAACAAAACATGTTGATTATAGTGACCTCCCCCGATAATATTGCAAATGGCGAAAGGGTTCTGTTGGGCTCCAAAAAAGAGTCGCTTAGAGTGTCCTCCCATGAAAACATTGCAAAAGGCGTAAAGATTCTAAAGGGAGGTAACAGTTGCGCTCAAAAAAGAGTCAGTTAGAGTGACCTCTCCTGACAACATTGCAAATGACGTAAGGGTTCAAAGGGAATACTATTGCGCTCCAAAAATGAGTCGATTAGAGTGACCTCCCCTGAAAAGATGACAAATAACGTTAAGGTTCTAAAGAGAGGTGACTGTCGCACTAAAAAATTGTTGATAAGAGTGACCTCCCTTGAAAACATTGCAAATGACGTTAAGATTCTAAAAAAGGAGGTAACTATTGCATTAAAAAATGTTGATTAGAGTGACCTCCCCTGAAAACATTGCAAATGGCGTAAGGGTTCAAAGGGAGGTAACTGTTGCGCTAACAATATGTTGATTAGAGTGACCTCCCGTGAAAACATTGCAAATGGCGTAAGGGTTCAAAGGGAGGTAACTGTTGCGCTAACAAAATGTTGATTAGAGAACCTCCCCTAAAATTATTGCAAATGGCGTAAAGGTTCTAAAGGGAGGTAACAGTTGCGCTCAGAAAAGAGTCAGTGAGAAAGACCTCCCCTGAAAATATTGCAAATGTTTTCAGGGTTCAAATGGAGGAAACTGTTGCGCTAAAAAAGGTTGATTAGGGTGACCTCCCTGATAACATTTCAAATGGCATAAGGGTTTGAAATGGAGGTAGCTGTTGTGCTAAAAAAAAAAGTCGATTAAAGTAACCTCCAATGAAATTATTGCAAATTGCGTAAAGAATATTTTTTTATTTCTCCTAACTTTGATTTTAAAATTTGGATGAAAACGCTTTGTTAACGTTGTCATTATAATAGAGATGTTCGACCATGCGACCACATACATGCATCGAGGACATGTTTGTAGGAAAGTGACCGTGCGACCACATACACGCATCACAAGATTCCCCTTCTCTTACGAGAAAGGGACAAAGAGTTGCCCGCCCTTTTATTAAAGGGCAGACTTTAAAAATGCCTTTGCCTTATGTTATTGATAAGGAGGCTAATTTTTACAGATATGTCTTGAATTGGTTTATATACAGCATTAGTAACGCAAACCAAGCGGGTTATGAGTTTACGTCTTTATAAGTCCGCTATGAAATTTTAAAAAGGTCATATATAAGTTCTTGGAAAATTTTGAGTTTAAAGTTTTTTCTACTTCTCATTTTATGTATATAGCAGAATTATTATAATTTTGCAAAACATGAACGTTTCAAAAACGTTTTATATACGTTAAATATTGAAGGTATATTTCACACTGTTTTCACATATTAACCTGGGGGCATTTTTGCCGAAGTATTGTCAAGGACAATAACTTGAGCCTATGTTTACATACAATTAATAAAAGGTAAAGCAGACTGAAGCCTAATAAATGAAACACAAAGTAAAACGTCATATTTTCATGTGCCTTGATAGCGCACTAGGCAGAGCGTCCTTGTCAGTGTTGTTTCGTTCATTTAGATTCTCGTATCATAGTTTGGTACCATTACATTTGAGTGTTTTATGTATCTTTTTTTATTTGACCAGTTTTTTGTGCCATATTGAGCCTCATTTTAAATATGAAAGTTCTTCACTAACTGATCAAGATCATTTAAAATCCCTATTGATTCTATTTTAATTTAGGTCACGTGTTTTGTGTCTATTTAATACCTTGATATTATTTAGATATGATGCATTTAAATAAAATACAGTTAATATATTTTCCAAACAAGTATAAAAATACTCTATTGCAATGTTCTGGTGAAATTTCAAGTTTCTCGACCGGACTATAAATAGTGATTTTTACAACTTATCTACAAATTTAAGTTTTTTTTGTAAGTTCCGTAACAACCGTTCGCCAAAGGCTTTTAAATGGGTTATCTTAGTACATACTTCTTAAGTAAGGGCAAACATGAATTTTATAATGTTTAAATAATGGTATCAGAGGAATATAAGAATTAAGTAGCGATAAATGTGAAATAATTTGACATTAAAGTAGCAAAATGTAAACAATGTAGTATTGTACTTCCATATAAGATACTAATTCGCTGTAATTTAACTGTACTCATTGCCAAAAAGCAACAGATGAAAAAAGATTGTTCAGGTTATTGGCCAATGAGTAACCTTTTGTATACTATTGAAGTACACCGAATTAAAAAGCTTTTAAGAAATACAAATAAAAGCATAATGGGCCTTTAAAACGTTAATTTTATAATCTCGGGGTGATCGACACCCTACCACCCCCTCTAGACCCCTCAATGAGAACTTTACATTTTTATGATGTTCCCGTACTAAAATAGTTTTACTGGCTGTACTGTACACCTAGTCAAGTTTCATAGATGTTACATTTAGATAAGATAAATTAATGGCCCTTTCAGCATTTTATCAGGCACATTTTTTTACTGAAATGTCTTATTTAGATCTCAGGATTTATGACCCCAAAGTGCGGTCGTTTGTCTGATGTTAAACATGCATATGTACCTCATTAACGCACTTTTGGGTCAAAAGTGGACACCAATGTTGGTAACGCACTGTGGAGTCGGACCATATTTGCAATCACGTGATATTTCTTGTATTGGTGCACATACGCATGTAATCGAAAGTTTTATATTTCTCTAGCTTATATGTCACTATTACATTGTACCAGATTATCACGGATTTATATTGTAATATAAATCCGTGCAGATTATAAGCCAATTAAATAAGGCCTTTTTAATTTCTTAGAATTGATTCAATCAGAAAATAAGACTGTACGTGCTTTATAAATAACAGTAACTGTTATATTTTTTTTAAAAAATCTACTTATATACCGTAAGGTACATGTACATGAGCAAATTGATAATTAGTTCGGCAATTTGAATAGAAATCGAGTTTTGAGTTTCTTCAAATTTATTATCATGAAATAAGCTTAAGCCATTAAAACCTGCATAACAACGTGAACAGGAAACACAAAGTTTAATTCATTTAAAATATGGGACGAAGTCACCTCTTGGTCCGAAACGTTGGTAGTCCGAAATGATTGTGTCAGTAGAGGGAACCAGAAAATTGCCGGTGACCAGTCATCGTTGTTTACATTGACAGCAAATATGGCTGAAAAATCGAAAATGAAAGTTGAAAGTGACATTAAACTATGAACGCTTTATTGTTCTCTTTTAAGGATTTAAAGGGTGGATGTTTGTTATGTAATGGGACGCAGAAAAGGACGTAAATGGAATCAAGCTTCAAATGGGACTCACATAATGACACAGCAACAATTACGAGACTGTTACAGGTAAGCATAAAATGATAAATGGTGTGAAAAAAAAACATTTTTAAAAACATAATGTGTTTGCGATCAGCATAGATCCAGACCAGCCTGTGCATCCGCGCAGTCTGATCAGGATCCATGCTGTTCACTATAAGTTTCTTTACTTAATTTGTTATACTAGTGTCTGTAAGCGAACAGCATGGCTCCTGATCAGACTGCGTGGATGCGCAGGCTGGTCTGGATTCCATGCTGGTCGCAATCGCATTACGTTGGTTTTGTCATGACGCGGCTCAAATTATGTATAAAATATATATGTCAAAAAACTATAGAAATTTATATGACTGGTGATTTTATTTATAATAGATCATTCTGTGTGAAACAATAAAAAACAGATACATGAAAACAGACAAATGATAGAAAGGAAGTGGATAGTCCGACGGCTACGGGCCTGTACTGCTAGCCAAAAGTTCTAGCCTTACATGAGTCAAGTACAGCTAGGCTATATTATACACTGTACTGTATATGCTAGTTGTACATGAACAACATTTTTTCAATAATAAAAAAAATGCACACATCTACATGTATATATTTTTACTAATTTTATGTATGATGTTCAGCCATTTATATTATGGCAAGGTATCTATCTATCAATCTGCCATTAATGTCAAACCCCTCACGGCGACATAGACATGACTATAGACTAGTCACTAAAGAGAAAGCTATATATATGAGATACAAGGAAATCGGGAACCAGTCCCTAGCTCTTATTGAATAGACCCCTTGGTATTTTTACATGCCCAGTGTATAGAAAGACACCTTAAACTTTGAAATAGCATGCCAATAAAACAAAATAGAAGTCAATTCAAGTCTGAAAAAAAATGCATTACTGTTTTCAATTTTCAGGTTTTTTTTCACAATTTCATGACGCATCGCGCTTTTTTTCACAAAATGAACATGCCCATGCCCCTTCACAATTTTGACAAAAAATGCCCTGATAGCACTGATACATGCAAGGATTACATGGATTTCTTACCAGTAAACCTCTAGTTACAGCTGTAGGTGGGAAACACTGAAAGTATCTCTGAAAAATCACAAGGGAGTTACCCTGAGGATGGAACCTGGGACCTCAGGAGTGACAGCCAGATAGCCTTTAGCATTAATTTGGCGTAAACGGTTTGACCCATTTTACATTTTTCTTTTTTACTGTCAAACCTTTACGGGAAAAAGACAGCGCCCATCCAAAAGTATCTCGGTGTCTCTTTGACAAGTCTAATTAGTTGGACCAACAGCCTAACCAAATGAGCTATTGCGCCACCTAGATTTAGATCCAGAAATTATGAAAATTCACCTAAATTAAAAATTAAAGCTTTTCTTGAGCAGAAGTACGTACATTCTAAATATTTACATGTTATAATTAGTAAAATACTTTGTCATAACTACCTTGGAAATAGACCCGATAGCAATCTTATGCAATCGTGAAAACAGTAGCCCTGCCTCTGACAAACTAGAACTTTAAATGGTATTGTGACTGACTGGTTAACCTGTCAGACTAGTTATCTAATGATTACTGACCCCCTTGGTTCAAACCCTGTCAGGAGCAAGACATTGTTTCCTTGAGCAAGAAACTTTACATTCACTGCTTAGTACAACTGTTGGTTCCTGAGGAACAAATTTGAGAGTGTTTCAATCAGCTTATAGCTTCCAACAAAATCAAACTAAAAGAAATTTGTATAAACTAAACTAAATGGTAAGCAAACAATTGAGCTTGAAATTTTAAAAGCCTGCTAAAAGCGTTAGAGATGATTTTTTTTTGCAAATGTATTACATGTATATTGTCCATAGAAATGATTTACTTATGTTTATTTTCATTTGTATTTTTAAAAGAAAAAAATTACTTTTGATCATCAAATGCTCAAAATTAATAGATCTACTGTAATTGATAAAGTTTTTATAATATTCAATAAAATCTTCTTTTTGAAAAACATGTTTGCATATTTATTATTCTTTTAGCCGTTTAGGTTATTTATTTTAAAAATGTTGTACAGCTTAAGCATCAACAGTGCATATAGGCTAGGCGTACGTGACTCAAGTACAGCTAGAACTTTGGCTATATTAAGCCATAAAAATTATAGGCCTGTGCAGCTAGCCATTGCCTAATAGAAAATAATAGGAGAATAAAACTCAAAGAATGACAAGAAAAATATATAAATATAAAATGAACATTTTAAATTTATTTTAAGCATTTTACATTACATTACAACTACATTATCCAGTTTAAGAGCTGCAAGCAGGTCAGTTTCTATTATAGCCCCCTCATGGTCAGGAACCCATGTCATATCTGATCTTTAACTTGTGTGGATGTCCTATAACATACAATAGTTACTGTAATAAATTACCACCATAAGCAGTTCACATACCGGTAACTCTCAAGGTAGATTTTCCATATTGTACCGCCAGTTTTTGGCCATAACTTCAGAAAGTGTCACATTTTTTAAAATGATATTTCAGTGTTTTTCTGTTATGAAATCTGAAAAAATATGTAAAAGTAAAATGGGGATAAAATCTGTGCAAATCATTGCACTTTATTTTATTGAGTAAGTTATATTTATGTTAGTGATTTATCTAAATATAGCACTCAGAGCAAAATAAAAACATTTTAATTAAGTGATCCTGTTTTATAAAAGTGATTGTGTCACAGGTTTTCCTTGTAGATCTTGTTTATCATATTTTACCTGGATAAAGTTAACCAGCTGTTTTTGGTGAAATAATAAACTAAGCATAGAGAGTCATTAAACTTTTGTCTTAAACTCAAATTCTTATTTTAATTGAAATATAATCAGACACTTTTATAATAAATGCTTTATATTATTAAATAGAAATACAAAATGCTTTTAAATTAATTCTCTCTAGCATTTAGTACCCATTTTTAATTAATGTTGAGTTATAATAGTTTGTCTTTAAAAAAGTTAAAAAAAGATGTTTAATATTTTTAAATTGTCAACAATTTCTTTACTTTTTTAGCATTAATGAACACTTAGGTTCAGAAAATAGATGCACAGAGTATAAAAATGGTCCTGGTTTTATAAGGCATGGATTTCGGGAAAATGTAGCAAAATATGTCTGTGGATTTGTCAACAGCCAACAAAATGGGAAACTCTTGATAGGAGTCAATGATGATGGTAAATACATATGACATAACAGTTTAGTTCTTTAACAATTAAAATGGCCTTTCTATGACAGAGTTTGCCTGAAAAAAATTTTTTCATTTGATTACATATGTATCATGACATGCAGATCCAGGAAATGGAGTGGCATCATGGGGCAGGGAGGGTGCTTGGTTTGGGTTAAGGGAGTTATGACTAAGACTTTGGCTATAATATGCATAAAACATCACATGAAGGTCTGGATTTTTGTCAGTAAAAAATCAACTTATAAGAAAAATGTAAGAGGGTTTATGTGTAAATTACCAGTTACAGGGTTTTTACAATATTTTCATTGAGGTTTTACTTTATAGTTTTTGAGATAAAAATGTGACAGTGATTTATTGTTTTGTTATTGTGGTATCATGACAGGGTTTTACTGTACTTAAGTTTTTTTTCTACAGGTATTGTCACTGGCTATGACTGCAGTCACCGAGATGAAGATCTTGTACGTCGCGAGGTTGACGAAGCAGTGAAAGACCTCGAGCCACAAATATTCCCTCAAGATTATAGCGTTAGATTTGTGCCAGTCATTAATGAAGATGGTCATCAGATGGGTAAGGTATCAATAGTTATTAATTTTTTGCCTAGTGACCTTGTAATTTGTTAAATTATTTTCATAACTTTGAAACAACAAGAGGTATCAACATGAAACTTTTTAGGTAGATAGAACAGTGCACAAGAACCGTAACTAACTCTGCCTTGCCTAATTTTGGAATTATTGCCCTTTGTTTATTTTTACACTTTGAACTTTGTCCGGGATATAAACTCTAATAACTCTAAAAGTATAAGAGATATCAACATGAAACTTTGTAGGTAGATAGATCTCATTGGGTGGAAGTGCAGTGATAAAGAACCATAACTCTTATTGCCTAATTTTGGAGTTATTGCCCTTTGTTCATATTTACACTTTGAACATTGTCCGAGACATAGCTCTATAACCGTAAGAGGTTTGTAGGTAGATTGATCAAATTACACAGAAGCACAGTGCAAAAGAACCTTACATGTAACTCTGCCTTGCTTAATTTTTGAGTTATTGCCCTTTGTTCATTTTTACACTTTGAACTTTGTCAGGAACATAACTCTGACACTTCAAGAGGTATACTTTTTTGTGTCCAAAACCTACTTGGTGAACATCACCCGGTTTAACTGGCTTTTGTGTTGTTTGTTTTTCAACCTCTTAATATCATAATGTTTTACATGAAAAGAAATGACAGTACCTGAGTCTAACCAGCAAGGAAAACAAAATGAAAGAAAAAAAAAATATTATCTACTTTAGTTATTACTCATAACTTAATAAATTTAAAAATTATCTTATGATTGTGACTATGAATTTAATGAAATTAACTTGATTTTTTTTCTACAGGAAATTTAAAGGTGATAGAGATTATTGTAAATGGTGAAGTTATTGACAAAAAAGATGTTCTGTACCAAAATAAACAAGGTGTATTCATGCGATGTGATGGCAGTATACAGGTACTAAAAGGCGCTGCTATACAAGAATGGAGTAGAAGGGTATGCATTATGTTTTAAGCTTGACTATTTGAAAAATAAGGAGAGCTATTATACTCACCAAGGCATCGGTGGTGGCATCACACTTTGGTTAAGTTTTAAGCTTGACTATACGAAGTATATGGAGAGCTGTCCTACTCGTCCGCGTCCAGATTAAAGTTTTGGTGCAGTAAAATATTATTCACTATAACTTTGTCATTTCTTAAAGTATCAATTATTTCAAACTTCAAATATATGTTCCTTATCATCAATCACATCTTATGTGAAGGTTTATTACTCTAGCACCAATATTTTCAGATTTATCTCCCCTTGAACTTAGAATTTTCCTTAAAAAATACTATTTTTTACTCTTACTTCTTTATTTCCTAAGGGATCAACCTCATACTTCAAATATATGTACCTTATCATCATCCCCATCTTATGTGACAAGGTTCATTACTCTAGCACCAATATTTTCAGATTTATGTCCCCTTGAACTTAGAATTTTCCTCAAAAAATACTATTTTTTACTGTTCCTTATTTATTTCTTAATTGATAAAACGTCATACTTTAAATATATGTACCTTATTAACATCCCCATTTTATGTGACAAGGTTCAAAACTCTAGCACCAACATTTTCACATTTGAAATTTGTTAGCATTATAGTCCAAAGGGCTCCTGACCTAGAATGGGGCAGGGTTCATGGATTTTCCTTTTTAACTATATCTACTTATGAGTTCCATAGCAGCCATTGACTTTTCATAGCATCCAGTGACTTCCATAGCAATCATTGCCTTTCCTAAGCAGCCAGTGACATCCATAGCTGTCAATGACACCTTAGCAACCAGTGACTAACATTAGCAACCAGTGACTTCTATAAAAACATTAACTTTCCTTAGTAACCAGTGCCTTCTACAAAAAAAAACATTGTCTTTCCTTTGCAGCCAGTCACTTCATAGCAATGATTGACTTTCAATTGCAACCAGTCCCTTCCATAGCAACCATTGACTTTCCTAAGCAATCAATGATTTTCAAAGCAACTCTTCCATAACATTATTATTGACTTTCCATAAAAACCACTGACATCCATAACAAACAGTTCAGTGACTTTCATAGCAACCATTGACTTTCGGCAGCAAAAAGGGATGTCCATAACAAGCATTGTCTTCCATAGCACCTTTTGATTTTTAATTGCAAACAATAACTTTCATAGCAACTATTGACTTTCATAGCAACCATTTACTTTCCATAGCAACATATGACTTACAAACAAGCAGTGACTTACAAAGCAACTGACTTTCTGCATTCAAGGCAATTATTGACTTTCCATAGCAACCAGTGACTTCCATAGCAATAGCAACTTAAGTGTGCACTATTTTAGATGCAGATATGAGCTTTGTGATAATTATCAGATTAAGATGCAGACTTTATATTTGCTGTTAATTTATAGTTTACAATTATTTGTGTTATGATAATTGTTCCTTGTCATTAAGAGCCTTTATAATTAGGTGAGCAATATTAGGACAACCGTCACTCTCTTGTCTCTATTTTACCTCAAACTTCTGGCAGTTTTACTATGCAGCTTTTATTATATGGCATTCAAATTTGTAAACAGTTAATGCTTAAGTTTAATTTTGGCTTTGTTTCATTTTCTTGATTTCTGTGAAATGGATTTGTTTTTGTTTTTCATTAGTTTAAAGTTTCTCTCAATTCAAGTTTATTTCTTTGCTGTACTTAAATATCTTTGGTTTAACTTTGTTTCAGAAATTTCAACAGAGATATCAACCAGAAATTGACAAATTGAAGAAGAATGAACAAAATTATGTGAAAGATCTTCAAAATAAAGAAAGTGAAATAAGGCAGCTGAATGAGAAATTAGAGCAGAAAAATGCAGCTGCCCAGCAGTTAGCTTCAAATCAAGAAAATGAGGTGCATGTAAGTCAATAAAAATAATGTGAAGTTTTTTTGTTTTTGTTTGTTTGTTGTTGTTTTTTTGTTGAGTTTTACACCGCACCAACACAGTGTAGGTCACGTAGCGATTTTCCAGCTTTATTGGTGGAGGAAGATCTAAGGTGCCCTTCGATGCATTGTTTAAGTCACAAACAGGCACATGAGTAGAACCTCCTACATTCTGTAAGCTACGTGGATAGCTCCCTCTTATAAAATGATCCCTGTCAGGATTTCTAACCAAAGTGGTCAGGGGCAAGATTTGTAGAAGTGAAATGTTTAATCAAGTAGAGTTTATTACTGACATATGAGAATAAATGAAATAAAAAAAAGTTACACTGTAATAGCAATTAGCAAGCCATATGGCCTTTAAGAATTATTTTCAAATATTAACATTATGTTCATATATAATATAGCAAAAATGATAATGAACCCATAATTTGGCAAGTTTGATATTTCTTTCCAAGGAGGATCTAAGGAATAAGGACCAGAAAATAAGAGAACTTGAAGAAGAATTAGAAAAGAAAAATGAAGCAATCAGAAAGATGGAAGAAACAGCTTCAGTATTCACCCATGTAAATGAAGAACAAAATGGAGCAAATGGAGCAGAAGTAAGTAATACAGAAATAAAGGTCAAATTTGACATAATAAAAATTGGATTTCTGAATTACTAGTTAGATTAAGTTGTATCGGGTAAACTTTTCTGTCTGTGTTGCTGGTTTTTATGTTGATTTGAACCAAATGGACATATCTTTTAGGTAATATTACTAACCAGTTTACCTGTAATAACCTTACCTGTAAGTACAATCCTTTCAGCAAGTGATGGACCAGAAATCTAACATGATTTCTTAATGGGGGGTGAGAGACAAATACTCAGTAGAAGTAATGTCTTAGAACAATTATTTCGGAGAAATGTTGCCTTAACTGAGGACCTAACCAGTAACCCATGGATTACTTATCATATCCTTTCCTTTTAAGTGATATTTTTGTGTCGCCTTGAAAAAGGCGACATAATGGGGTTACTTTTGTCGGCGGCGTCATTACGTCGTCCCCCCCCCCTTAAGGTTGTCCGGAGCATAAGTCAGTCATTATAAGTCGGATTGACTTCAAACTTGGTATGCATGCTTCTTATAAAGACCCAAAGTGCAGTGCATAAGAACCGGTACTCTGCTTTTCTTAATTTTTGAGTTATTGCCCTTTGTTAATTTTCATACTTTATTTTTGTCCGGGCAATTTCTCCTTATGTATAAAAGCTATGGACTTGATAGGATGATAGATCTCATTAAGGAGAAGTGCAGTGCACAAGAACCGGTACTCTGCACTTCTTTTTTTTGAGTTATTGCCTTTTGTAAATTTTCATACTTTATTATTGTCTGGGCCATTTCTTCAAAGTATAGAAGCTATGGACTTGAAACTTCATAAGATGACAGATCTCATTAAGAAGAAGTGCAGTGCGCAAAACCCGTACTCTGCATTTCTTATTTTTAGCTCACCTGTCACAAAGTGACAGGGTGAGCTTTTGTGATAGCTTTTCGTCCGGCATCCGTCCATCGTCCGTCCGTCCGTCCATCCGTAAACTTTTACTTTAAATGACATCTCCTCATAAACCACTAAGCCAATTTCATCCAAACTTCACAGGAATGTTCCTTTGGTGGTCACCTTTAAAAATTGTTCAAGAATTTAATTCCATGCAAAACTCTGGTTGCCATGGCAACGGAAAGAAAAAACTTTAAATATCTTCTTTTAAAAAACCATAAGAGCTAGAGCTTAGATATTTGGCATGAAACATCTTCTAGTGAGTGTCTACCATGTTTGTTCAAATAAAAGCCATGGGGTGAAAATTGGCCCCGCCCCGGGGGTCATTGATTTTCCCTATATGCATATAGTAAAAACTTAAAAAATCTTCTTTTAAAGAACTCAAAGAGCTAGAGCTTAGATTTTTGGCATGAAACATCTTCTAGTGAGTGTCTACCAAATTTGTTCAAATACAAGCCCTGGGGTCAAAATTGGCCCCGCCCCGGGGGGTCATTGATTTTCCCTATATGCATAAAGTAAAAACTTAAAAAATCTTCTTTTAAAGAACCCAAAAGAGCTAGAGCTAAGATATTTAGCATGAAACATGTTCTAATGGGTGTCTACCAAGTTTGTTCAAATAAAAGCCCTGGGGTGAAAATTGGCCCCGCCCCGGGGGTCATTGATTTTCCCTATATGCATATAGTAAAAACTTAAAAAATCTTCTTTTAAAGAACTCAAAGAGCTATGGCTAAGATATTGAGCATCAAACATGTTCTAATAGGTGTCTACCAAGTTTGTTCAAATACAAGCCCAGGGGTCAAAATTGGCCCCGCCCCAGGGGGGTCATTGATTTTCTTTATATGTGTTTAGCAAAAACTTTAAATCTTCTTTGAAAAAAAACCAAATAGCTAGAGTTTAGATATTAAGCATGAAACATCTTCTAGTAAGTGTCTACAAAGTTTGTTCAAATAAAAGCCCTGGGGTCAAAACTGGCCCGGCCCCAGGGGTGTCATTGTTTTTAACTATATGTGTATAGTAAAAACTTAAAAAAAATCTTCTTTTAAAAAGCCCAATGAGCTAGAGCTTAGATGTTTAGCATGAAACATCTTCTTATGGGTGTCTACTAAGTTTGTGCAAATAAAAGCCCTTGGGTTAAATTGGCCCTGCAACGTTGGGGGGGGGGTTGGGGGGGCCTATATACAGGTGAGCGACCTCAGGGCCATCATGGCCCTCTTGTTTAGTTATTGCCCTTTGTTAATTTTCATACTTTATTTTTGTCCAGGCCATTTCTCATAAATTATAAAAGCTATGGACTTGAAACTTCATAGGATGATAGTTTTTATTGATAAGTAGTACAGTGCACAGAAATTGCTGCTCTGCACTTCATATTTTTTGAGTTATTGCCCTTTGTTAATTTTCTTATTTCATTTTTGTCCTGGCCATTTCTCCTAAACTATATTGTTCACAAGGCAACACATCCGACTTGCGGAGTTCTAGTTTTATTGTAAATAACACATGCACCATTTTTAGCTCACCTAAGCTAGCACAGGGCGAGCTTTTAGGATTATTAAATGTCAGTCATCCGTCCACATTTCCTCGTTAACACTCTAGCGTCACATTTTTGCCTCAATCATCATCAAACTTTGTCAGGATGCTTATCTAGGTAATTGCTTGCATGAGATCGAAAAACTAGGTCACAGGAACTAAAACAGGAACTAAAAAAAATCTTGTTAACACTCTAGTGGCTACTGTTTTGATCCAAATATCCTGGAAATTGGTCTGAAAGTTTGTTTTGATGATTTCTAGGTCAAGTTTGAATATGGGTCATCTGGGGTCAAAAACTAGGTCACACTGCTCAAATATGGAAAATCCTTGTTGACACATTTTTGACTCACCTGTCATGAAACTTGGTCAGAATGCTTGTCTAGGTAATTGCTGGGATAAGTTAGATGAGTCAGAAGAGCGATCTAGGGTTATCTTGGTTCTCTTGTATTTGTAATCTTTTCTATTTTCAGGGCAATTCTGAAGTCATCAAAACATTGGGCAGACTGGAAGATATGCTTCAAAAGCAGCAGAAATCAAAAATCTGTGTCATATCCTGACAGGAATATAAAAACTCCACTTTTCATTGGATAATTGTGAAGTTGATATCATAGTTTTATATACACGGCTGCTGTGAATTTATGAAGAAATATTCTTTTTTTCTGTAAAAAGGAAGTTTGCAGTATTATTGTGTTGCCTCTACGGAGTAGTGGCAATACATAGGGATCACTTCTCTGTCGTCTTTCTGTCCATCTGTCCGTCCATCACAAAACTTGTCCAAACTTCTGCTCAGAAACTTCTGGTGCAATTTCTTCCAAACTTTATAGGAATGATTTATACCAAGTCTAGTTTTGCCCTGTTAATGGCTTTTGGGTCTCCTGCTACACATTAGCTGCAACATGCGATTGGCTTTCATGAGGCGACACATGTCATCACTGATGGTCCTTGTAAATTTGTGATACATATTTTGACAGGTTATATGACAGTAAATAAATGGTTGTTTGCAATATAACCCTCCCCTAGTGGCTTGGGTGATATTTCCAAACAACCGTTAATAAAAGGGCCATATAACCTGTCAAAAATCTTTATAAAATTCAATACTGTAAGTTTCTGTTATTTTTGCTTTATTTTCTGCTTCACAGGGATATTCAAAATGTGTTCTATACATTCAGTGTACCTTTAGAACAGATAATAATAAAGAATCTTATATCAGTATTTTGCAATACATTCCATTTAATTTATGAGGACTTTAGTAAAATTCCCAAAAGGCATGGAGTTTTAAACCAAATTTACTTTTATTTTGTACTTTAAATGGCTAAGTGTTACATTAGTTTTGACCATATTGCAAGATTGTAAGCCATGTGTAATGTCCCTTAAAGCTGCATGCCTCCAGATGAGCGAAAATATTTCAATAAAAACATTTTTGAGAAAAATGTTCTAAGTTTTTAGGAAAAGTAGAAATATTCAAGATTAAAGTAATTATTTACATGTTATGTGCGATTAATGACTGATTTTTCAGTATTTATAGTTATATTTCTACTGCGTTACTAACGAAGTAAGGGCAATTTTTGCATATTTTGTCCTCTTTTTCATAATTTACGCGGGCTGTTAGTGCCATCGATAATTTGCAAATTGCGCTCACAAAATACTACTTTTAAACACATTTTCAAAATTTTCATGAAAGTTAGCATGAATCTGGAGGCGTGTTACATTTAATTTAAAAAGTAAGCAAAAATTTAACTTGGACAAAGGGAAAGTTTTTGATCACTTTTATTATAATTATAATGATAGAATATCTTCTTTTATATATTTTTTAATTCAATTGTAAAGAGGGAAAATTGTTTTCCATTAGAAGTGGCTTTCTAATAGGTAGATTATTTGTTTCTTCTTTATACATGCACTTGTAAAGAGAGAAATTTGTTTTTGAAAAAAAAAGCAGCTCTCTTGGTTGTGTTTTTTTGTATTTTGTTTTATTTTTACATTTTTTAAGCTTTCTGTTATTTTATATGATTTTAAATATGATTTATTGATTGTTTTCTTGTTATAAATAAGTGTAGACAACTGTAATATTTATTCCATGATCAGATTTGAATACTTTGCGTATCAAGTACAGACAATATTTATAGGTCAAACACAGCAGTTATTATAAAGCTCATCATTGTTTTGAGGGAGCTTGTTATCACCTTTTTCTGTCGTTTCTTTTCCTAAACATTCTGTAGTTTTTCCAGGGTTCAGTATTTTCTGTGTTCAGATGTGTCAAAACTTTGTTCAACTTTCCAACACTTTTTCCTAGCAATTTCATTTTTAGCTCACCTGTCACAAAGTGACAAGGTGAGCTTATGTGATCGCTTTTCATCTGGCGTCCATTCGTTCGTTTGTTAACTTTTACTTTAAATGGCATCTCCTCATAAACCACTAAGCCAATTTAATCCAAACTTCATAGCAATGTTCCTTTGGTGGTCACCTTTAAAATTAATCAAAGAATTTAATTACATGCAGAACTTTGGTTGGCATGACAACCAAAAGAAAAAAACTTAAAAAATCTTCTTTTAAAAATCTCAAAGAGCTAGAGCTTAGATATTTGGCTTGAAACATCTTCTAGTGAGTGTCTACCAAGTTTGTTCAAATAAAAGCCCTTGGGTCAAAATTTTGCCTTCCCGGGGGGGGGGGGGCTTATTAATTTTCATTATATTTATAAAGTAAAAACTGAAAAAAGATAAAAAATCATCTCTTAAAAGACTGAAAGAGCTAGAGCTTAGATACTGTGCATGTTCTAGTGAGTGTTTACCAAGTTTGATAGAAAATTAAATTCCTTGGGGTCAAAATTGGCCCGCCCTGGGGATTCATTGGTTTTCCTAATATGTATAAATTAAAAACTTAAAAAAACTTCTTTAAAAAAAAAGAGCTAGAGCTTAGATATTTATCATGAAACATTTTCTAATTTGAGTTTACCAAGTCTGTTCAAAGCCATGGGGTCAAAATTATTCTTGTTCATGAAGAGCTTTTTTATTCAGGTGAGCTATTTCAGGGCCATCATGGCCCTCTTGTTTTTAAGCTTACCAGAGCTGGCTTAAGGTGAGCTTTTATGTTTCTTGAATGTTTGTCGTCTCTCATCGTTCCACATTTAGTTTGTTGACACTCTAATGGTCACATCTTTTCAAGAGTCACTATTCTTTGTCAGAATGTTTGTTCCAGTAATTGCTTTAATGAGTTCAAACATGGGTCACCTTGGATCAAAAACAAGGTCACACAGCGCAAATATGGAAGAACTTGCTGACACTATAGAGGCTACTGTTTTGGTCCAACTATCCTGGATATCGCTCAGATAGTTTGTTATGAGAATTTTTCTAGTAAAAAAAATGAAAAAAGGTCACTAAGGATCAAACCCTGGGTCACACAGTCCAAATATGGAAAACCTTTAGCATTTTAGAAATGACATGTCAGTTGAAATCTCCTGGTAATTATTCATAAAAGTTGTTTAGATGATTAATAGCACAAAATTGAAAATGGGCCATCTGGGGCTAAAATCAAGGTCACAAGGCCCAATTATGACATAAATATGTTAACACTGTAGAGGTTATATTTCCAGTCTAAATATCCTGAACATTTATCAGAAGGGTTAATACATTGATTCCTAGTCTAAAATTTAGCATGGCATGTATAGACTCAATCAAACCAAGTCTGCAATTCTCTTGTAATTTGGTTATGATTAATGCTTTCGAGGGATCACTTTGTTTCCAGATTTTTATACTTCACAACAGCAGGTGTCAAGTGCTGTGTGGCAGCTGTAAAAAGTTTCCCAATACTTCACTTCAGTGTTGTTATATTTTTCTTGTCCTTCAGGATCGTTGATGCCAGCATTATTAAGTGTTGAAGAATTGAGTGCCGCTCAAGCCGGTGCTAGGGAGCGTGAGGGATGTTGCATGCATTAATTATCCCTCATGTACAGACTCAATCAAACCGAGTATGCAATTCTCTTGTAATTTTGTTTTGATTAATGCTTTCGAGGGATCACTTTGTTTCCAGAATTTTAATTTGGGTAAAAAAACTAGGTCACAAAGCCCAAATATTGAAAATCTTTGTTTACAATCTGGAGGTTACATTTCAGCCTAAATATTATGGAAATTGGTCAAAGAGATTGTTTTGATGATTTCTTGCTCAAAATCGAGTGTGGGTCATCTGGGGTCAGACAATTGTTCAAATAATTATGAAAAAACCTTGTAAACACTGTAAAGGTAACATTTTCAGCCCAACTGTCAAGGAAATTAATCAGAAAGGGTTGTTAGATGATTTCTAGCTCATGATCAAATATCTTGGGTCAAAACAAGGTCACACACCCAAAATAAAAAAAGCCTTTTTGACAATCTAGATGAGTTATTTTCTCTAATAACATTAAGAATGAGGAAAAAGAAGCTTTGAAATGGTTCAGTTAAGTTAAACATACTGTGGAATATTATTTACTTTGAAAGAAAATCATTTTACTGTAGTGTAATGTTTGAGCAATTTCTAGAGTCGTCACAAATGTTTTACTGGTTACTGGTGAACACCTTTACACAAAGGCCTTTTTACACTTTTCTCTAATTTTACTCCCATGTATGCAATGTATTTTTATTTATATGTGTATCCCTTAAAGACCTATTTCAGATATTGATTACCTTATCAGTCATTTTTTTAGCTCTCTATTTTTCATTAAATAAAAGTCTCTTCATTTCATGTTTTGTTCTGAGAGGAAATTTTCTGTTCTGAATTGGTATACATAAAGAAGCATTTTACACAAATGGAATCATGAAGACAAAGTCTTGCCAACATTGCATGTTTACCTCTACAAAAGTCATATTATCATAATTATTGACCTTTCAAATGATCTCACTTTGCACAGTTTAATTATACATGTACACTCCTTAGGCATTTTGTCTTATTTATTTTAAAAGTTATATTAATAAATGTACTTGGCAATAAATGTCCATTTTGCTTCTGTAGGTTTATGAAATGCGATGCCAAAGAATTAAATAATGCATGCCAAAGAATGTTAAGTTTGTAATGTAAGTTTTAAGAAAATGAGCTCAACCGTAAAATTTTAGCGCACCTGAGAACAACGTGCTTAATGTGAGCTATTTAGCTCACCAGGCGTCTGTCGTCCATATCATATTTAACTGCAGACGACATCTTAAACTCCCCAGCTAAAAGTTAAGTAACTATAATACATGTACAGGGATTGTCTTTGGATTGTCAAATATAAACATTGCTCAAAAAGTCGTTACAGTCTGTGTAACATTATGACTACCTTTAAGCTAAATATTGAGTAAAAGACTTTAATGACACCCACTCTTCATCCCTGTTTTCAGATGAAACTTAAATGAAATGACCATAATCCATATAAATATTGTCCAGTATGTTAAACAAATCATCATGTATGGATCAAGAGCTATCACAGTCCCTTTTATTTTTAAGAATTTCATTATTTTATGCATCCTAGGATATATATGTTTTGCTCAGCCAAGCACAACATGCCCATTGTGAAATAAAGTTTTTATTATGACAGCTGAAACATTTCGATTATGTGCACAGTTTCCGGTGTAGAATTGCAATTTGATATCAGATGACCTAAATACTAATCAAGTGACCCACTTTCTAGTTTTTGATGTACAGCCATGTAAGAGTAAAAATTAGAAATGACTTTAGCGTGAAACATTGTCTAGACAGTGACCAACATTGTTCAAATTCTTGTAATAAACACTAGCTTACAGTATGACATCAGGTGGGCGCTTTGGGCAATATGTTGTTGTTGTTTTCTTTTAGGGGGGGGGGGGTGCGCAATGGCCCAATTGTAAATCATTTACTATTTATTTAACAAACAGAGATGATGTAAGAAATAAACGTGGTCCTTTGAGGGACAATGGTAAAACTTTCAATGTAAAAAATATGTATTATGTACCCCTAACCCCCCTTTTACTAGGTTTAGGTGTTGGGAGATATGCAGTATTTGTGTTGGTGTTTTGGTGGTGATGGAATTACATGTGCTTGTTTTTAAAATATTGATTTACACAAAGAACTTAATAAATATGTACTTATATGTATATTTTTATTTTGTTAATTTGTTTCGTTTTTGCTTAATTTTCATTTTGTTCTTGATTTTTACTGTCTTTGTTTGTAATCGAATATTTTCATTACACTTTTGATGCAGTGCCATGACGTTGAATTACATTCCTTGCTTTTCAAAATAAAAGAAATTGGTGAAATTTATATATTCGCTTGTTGATCCTACCACCCTTTAATCACAATCATATTATTCCTCATTATTACTTCTCATGTGCACATTCATTGGCCAACATTTTTTAGTATTTTACAAAAGTCGGGTGGGGGCATTTCAACTTCACATATTCCAGATTTCAGCCTCGTGAATTCCCGATTTCAACCTTACGAATTCAGGATTTCAACTTCATGAGTTCACGATTTCAACTATAAATTGAAAATGGAACGACATGAAAATATTTTGCAGCAACAAAATAAATTAAATATCAAGTTTACTCAAGTAAGGGATGCTTTTGAATACTTTTGTACATCTGAAAGTTGTTGATGTGCATGTTTGTGTTACATAGCAAGCTGAGAGTGCATGCTAAATATAATGGTTAGTTTAACAGCATTTAAAAGATGATAAATTGCAGCTGCATTATTGATAACATGATGATAGGAAACAAGGTTTTGTAAGACTTTTGATAAACGTTATCAGATTGCGGATAACACATACAATGTATTATATCTATTAGTTTACCTGTAAAATGTGTTACCGTAGCTAAATTATTGGTTCCTGTTATGTTTTCAAATAAAAAATGATTCTCTTACATACAAATGTATATCATTATTGGCGCCATTCTGTAGAATATTAAAAGCTATATTGTACTTAACTGTATCTAGTCATCTACTCCCTCGTAAGGTATCGACCTTTGTTATATGCTGTTTTTTGTGGGTTTTTTTTCACTCAACTTTTTCAATAAACTCAGGAAAATGCCATTACCGCTTATTATTTGTTTGACTATCACCTCTACTGACAAGCGAGAATGCTTA